TAATAAAGTAGGGTGAGATGTATAAGAAAAAGGTTCTGCTGGGTCTTCGTAAACCAGCTAGCACCTCTTTCTCATCTTAGTGAGTGATGGGAAGGCAGGAAGAAAACAAGTGTTTTCAGGATGCTGGGAAGTCTCCTAGGAAAGGGGAACAAGATTGGCATGAAAATGTTTCCCAGCCAAAACCTCACCAGCCTAATCCTCTGGGTGGTGGACATGGGAAGGAACAAAGTGTATCCTTTTAATACTGTAGAAGCTTCTAGCTTCTGAACCAGAAGTTTAACGACCAAAATGGAAAGACTACCAAAGGCTAACCTAGCTTACTCAGAATAAACACTTTATTTCCTTGTCCACTTTTTTTTTTTTTAGGCAATTGGGGTTAAGTGACTTGCCCAGAGTCACACAGCTAGTAAGTATCAAGTGTTTGGTCTGAAGCTGGATTTGAACTCAGGTCCTCCTGACTTCTCCCTTTCCAACAAAGCCTATTGACTCTGGAACATAAAGAGGAAGAACTAAAATACTAACCTGTTTTCAAGTTAAAAGAGTATTGGGGGGGCAGCTAGGTGGCACAGTAGATAAAGCATTGACCCTGAAGTCAGGAGGACCTGAGTTCAAATATGGCCTCAGACCAAACATGACACTTACTAGCTGTGTGACCCTGGGCAAGTCACTTAACCCCAATTGCCTTAAAAAAAAAAAAAAAAGGTATTGAGGGAACTGCTTTTCCAGGAAAAGTTTATAGTATGGTAGGAGAAAATATCTTGAAATGATTCCTTGTTGCCTTCCCTCAAATTGACTACAAAATTGTCAATCATAAGAAAGCTTTAATTCTCTTAAGTCCATTTCTGCTATTTATAGGAATAAAGTATTAGAAGCAACCAGAGAGGCTTACAAAAGCTACGGCATAGGCCCAGAAGCAGAGACAGTAGTACTCCCTGGGCAAAGCTTCTAAGAGAAAACTTGGTAAACAAGTGTGACAGAATTTAATGTAGCTACAAGAAACAAATATGAATGGTAAAAAGTGGTATGTGAAGTAAATAAAGGGAAGGAGCAATGGCATGTGTCCACGGATTGTGAAGATACAAACATTTATGCATTCCATTAATAAGAGAAGACAAGTGTAAATAATGTTAGAGTGTTTAATGTTCATTAGGGTGTGGTTTTTTTTTCTTGCCTTTGTTTTTTTTTCCCCCTTGCATTTGAATGCTCTAGTGTCCTTTCAGTTTGAAAACCCTTGCTTTTTCCATTAATCCACCCTGTTTAAGTTTTAGTTGGAGCTCCTAAGAATGTTAAAGCTCTGATTAGGTGGAGTATCTAATATTTGCCAAAAGAATCTGCTGGAATCTAGGACCTCTGCCAGGAGATGTGATAGAAGCCTAGACAGAAGTTCTATATTTTAATGTGGGGAAGGGAAAAAATATCTTCAAAAAATCTCCACCAAGTTCTAAGTGTGCTTGAGTCATGAGCATTCATTCATGTACACAGAAGTTACATTGGGCCATATGCTCAGTTAACTTTGAGAAACTAGTGGGGGAAATGGAATTGTTGTGCAGTAAATAACTCAAAACTTCTTCTGATAACCACAAATTTCCTTCTTTAAGTAGCAACTAATCAATTAACAACCATTTGTTAAACACCTACAATGTGGCCATCACTGTGCACTGTGTTCCAGAGATATAAAGATAAAAATAGAATATTGAATAACAAAAGAGGAGACTAGCCCTTTATTAGACCCCCAAACATTGAGAAATCTTATTATCACCTATGCAAATACTGCAGATATACTGTTGGTCATTTCTTGATCAACTACTTCATTTCTCAATTCCAACTTCAGAACGTTTTGGAGGTCCAGAATGGCTTTGATTTTTTAAGAATGAGTGAGCATCAAGGATCCATAGGGAGAATAAACCAGGCTAAGTCAAAGAGAGTTCTTTTAAAATTTGTGTTCTCTGATATCACTAGTGAAAGGTAATATAGCACAATGGGTAGTGTGCTGGAATGGTGATCAGGAATTTAAGTCAACTTAAAAGCAAATTTATTAAGCACCTACTATTTGTAAGGCACTGTTCTTGGTATTGAACATACAATGACAAACAAACCAAACCAAAAACCCAAAGTCTCTTCCCTCCAGAAGCTTACATTCTGGTAAGGGTAGGAGGAGAAAGTATAAAACGTGTACACAATTAAGTAAATACAGAGTATATGCAAAAATTATGCAAATTAATTCCAAGAGTAATTTCAAAATTCAAAATAATTTCAAAATATAATGTGACACGAAGTTGGCCTTGAAATAACGTAGGAATTCTACAAGGTAGAGGTAAGAAGGATTACATTCTAGATGTGCAAAGGCATGGAGGGGAGAGCTATAATTTTGAGTTTAGCAAGAGTTAGAAAACTTGCCCAATTAGAAGGAAGAATATGTGAAGGGCAGTAAAATGAAATGAGACTGGCAGGGTGGATTGATTGTGAAGGGCTTTAAATGCCAGACTGGAGTTTGTGTTTTTGAATAAGTGGCTGATAGAATCAGATCTGTACTTCAGTATTATCAATTATGATGGATTAGATTGGACAGGAGGGAGACTGGTGGCAGGAAGACAAATTAGAAGGCTATTGCAATAACTTAGAGGTGATGAGACATGAACTAGGGGAGCAGTTGTATGAATGAAGAGGAGACAGTTGTGAAAGATTTTTGGAGGTAGAATTGACAAAAAACTCAAAGAAGAGGGCCTAGAACAGAACTTAGAAAACCAGTCATCCTTAGATGGTGGGAGGAGGAGGAGAAGGAGGAAGAGCAGGATTCAGGAAAGGTGATGGAGAAGGAATAGTCTTACACGTAGGAGGACAAGCAAGAGGGAACAAAAGTCTTGGGAGGAAAGAGTATGAAGGAGGAAGGGGTGGTTGACAGTGTCAATGGAATCTGAAAGGTCTGAGGCAAGGCCATCTGGTTTAGTAGTTGAAAGGTGGCACAGTTTGTATATTATAGGGAAGCCAGCTGAATGAGACTGAGAAGTCATTGGAAGAAATGGAGCTAACAAAAGCCAACAACCCTTTCTAGGAGTCTGGCTGTAAAAGATTTCACCCCTGCTCCAGCTTCAATCTCCTCCTTTTCCAATCTTGACCCTGTGGTCAACCTTACACCATCCTATACTCTTTAATCCTATATACCCTTGTCAAACCTCAACCTTAGAGTGTTCCCACACTCCTACTCACATTTTGGAGTTGATTGAAACTGACAGGGTCCACTACAAGTTTATGTTATCTGATCTCAACTGGACCCTCCTTACACTAAGGCAATCCCTTTTCTTCTCCTCAACTGACTGTTCCACTGCCAGCAGTGATAGTTTTAAACTCTCTTTTCTCCCTAGGCTTCTTATACTACCCTGCCCCAACCCTCTCAACAAAAGATCTCACCTCATAAATTATTGAGAAAATAGAGACCAATTCACCTTGACCTCCTTCTTTATTTCTTCTCTACATCTCAAATCCTCTTCATATCTTCCTTCTTCCCTTCCTCTTCTCCCTTCCCCCCTTCTCCTCTTCCTCACTACTGCTTTGCCTAAAAGATGAGAACTCACCAAGGCAAGTGCTCACATGATGGTCAGAAGAAGTGGTTCCAGGACACTCTCAAGGTTTCTCTGAAGAACTTTGGAATAGATTGTGAGACATGGGACACACTGATGGGACCACCCAGCATGGCGTGCCCTCGTCAAAGAAGGCACTGTGCTGTATGAGCAAAGCAGAATTGAAGTAGCTCAAAAGAAAGGAGAAGTGTGCAAATTTAGAGAATCCACCCCAAATGTTCACATGGACTATTTGGGCCTGACCTGTGGTAGAGCATTCCGAGCTCGTGTTGATCTGATCCGCCATAGTCAGACACATCGTAACTTGACTCTAACATAGTGATGTCATTTTGGTCCTCTTGGAGAACGAAGGACAACAACCAACCAGCTACTTTACTCAAGTTTCTAATAAAGAGGTACAGATTCTTCTGGTAATGAAATAATTCTGTTAAGTAAAACTAAAAAGTGACCTCATATGAAAGTAGCATTCCCCATCTGTAGCAACCCCTACATCTCTGTTTTTTAAACAAGTTACAGAAATCTGTTTTTTCTCCCTTCCACCCTCTACCCCATTTGAAAAGAAAAAAAAATTTCATGTAACAAATACCTGTAATCTATCAATAAAGATTTATTAAGCACATACTGGGTGCCGGGTACCGTGCCAAGTCTGGGGATCAAAAAAGAAGTAAAAAACAGTGCCTGCCCTCAAAGCACTTACAATCTAATGGAGGGGTGAGATGGGGTAGGGTGGGGGAGGCAACTTACAAATAAATATACAGGATGAATATGAGATAATTAACTAAAGGTACTGGAATTAAGAGAGAAAGACTTCCTGTAGAGATGAGATTTTAGTTGGGACTTAAAGAAAGCCAGGGAATTTAGTAGTCAGAGCAGAGGATGAAATCAAGCATGATACTGTGCTGTTGGTCTTCAAAATTTTTAATTCTTATAATATTGGTGTTGTATAAATTGTTCTTCTGGCAAAACATTTACAGTGTTTTGTAAAGCCAGGGTGGTTTGAGGGAAGCAGACCTGTGGTGTTTTGTTTTTTTTTTCAAATTGGAATAGAGATCTCTAATTGAGGAAATTTCCTCTACCATGATGGTAGTTACTGCTCTGTAATTTACAGTCATAGAGAGTTGTCCAAGACATTGAGCAGTTAAATGATTTACCCAGGGTCAAACAGTCTGTATGTGTCAGAAGTGAGACTTGAACTCGGGTTTTCATGACTGTCTACAGCCATCTCTTTTTCTTCTATACCACACTGCTTCTCAGGGTTAGGTCAACGTTCTAAATTAACTGTTTTCCCCAAGAACAGATGAAATATTTGTAGAAGGTCTATTCACTAGGCATTTTTCTGACCATTTCAGTATAGCTTCTTTCAAAGTGTCATGGCATTATTTCAATGTGTATCTAAATTTCGCTTTCTCATTTTCCTTCTAGTACTATTCTGCTCTACCATATGATGGCATGGGGCCTGGCAATCCTTCTTTGCATAGAGGGCATTACTATGCTTTACTACCCTTCTGTCTTCAGGTAAGATATTCATTTATTGCAACTTGGTGGTGATCCAGGTAGAGGATTTATTTATTCAGGAAATTAATGAGTGAAAATAGAAATGTAAAATCAGTAAGATATGAAGCAGAACAAGAAAACTAGAGATAAAAATTAGGAAATCAGTTTAAACCCATTTTTACCCAAAGATATGGGATCATTCTAGGACAGGGGTGGGGAACCTGCAGCCTTGAGGCCACATGTGGCCCTCTAGGTCTTCAAGTGTGGCCCTTTGACTGAACCCTTTAAGATTCATTCAAAGGATTACACTTAAGGACCTAGAGGGCCCCATGTAGCCTTGAGGCCACAGGTTCCCCTCCCCTGTTCTAGGACTATCACTACTCAGAGCAAATACAGAAGCTATTGTTGGGAGCTCCTCTGCATCACAGGTGGTCATACTTATGATGCATCCATGCTGTCTGGAACCCTCAGTCAGTCAAATAGCATTTATTAAACTCTTATTATGTACCATGCACTGTGCTGACCTCTGATAAGACAAAGAAGGGCAAAAATAGTCCCTGTCTTCAAGGAGCCCATATTCTTTCTAATGGGAGAGAAAACATGTAAATAACCAGGCACAGATAAGATGTATGCAGAATTTATGGAAGGTACTCTGAAAAGTAACTTAGCAACTTGAAGTTACATTGCATTAGCAATTTGAGTAACCAGAAACACTTCTTGTAGAAAGCGGTCTTTGAGTTAAGTCTTGAAAAAAGTCAGGAAAATGAAGAGGTAATGGGGAGAAACAGAACATTCTAGACATTGAGGATGGAGACAAAGCTATTCTAGACAAAGACACGGGAGACAGGACATCAGGTGCCATGTTTGAGGAACTGCAAGCTGGCTCATAGAGTGTATCATGGAAGGTTAGAGGACACGAAAGGTAGGAAGTTACCAGGTAACGAAGAGATTTAAATACAAAAAAGAGGACTTTATAGATGCTTAGGTGGCCCTAGGAGGAGCCTTAAGACTTCCCTGTGGTTCTCTGCAGTTCTGTTCTCCTTAGGGGCTTGAGTTGAGGTTGACTCCCCAGAGTTGTAGGACCAGGTTTAGATAATAATGGCCCCCCTTTTAGTAGTGCATTGTAACATCTCCTGGGCTCATTTTATTCAAAACCCTAAAATCTCACCAAGATGTGAGCATATAAGGCAGGGATAAATTCTATTCAGCTTTTGCCACCTGGGGCAGGTGACTACCTTATTGTATGCTTCATTTTCCTGATGGGGTATGGGACCTGGATCCCCAAAATGCAGCCTAGCTCCTGAACCTTCCCACACAGCCCAACCTAGATACTCAATAATCTTTTCAACTGTCCTTTCATTGTGTCTCTGACTAACTCCAATCTTCAATTCTCTGTTACCTCTGACCCAGCCCAGCCCATCATTGTCTATTACCTCCAGACCAGCCCAGGCTATTTCCCACCCTTAATCCCATCTAGACCCCTTCTCTGTTACTTCAGGGTTACCCCAGGCTATTGGCTACCCTTGATCCCATCCAAATCTTCCCACAATCTTTTTCACTATGAAAAAAGTCAGTCTTGTCTACCAAATGGGCAGATTCTTAAAATCCTGCCCACTTCTATTGGGATACAATAAACCTTGTCTCTGATTGAAAGAAGGCTTCAGTGGCAAAATTCTTTGAGGTAGACCCATGCCTTTTGCCCTTGAATTTCAGGGTTCCCAGTACCCCTAGACTGCAACACTGCCTGGCATGTGATTATTGACCCATATATTGGAACTCTAGCTTCTTCTTGGGGTGAGGGAAAGGGGTAGATAGAGGCTGCAGTTATATCTTATCATTGCTCACACATCCACAAACTGAAATAGAGTTTATTGTATATATCCCTTTCTGTGTATCTCTCTCGCTCTCTCTCTTTTTTTTTTTTTGGCTAGGTAATGGGGTTAAGTGACTTGCCCAGGGTCACACAGCTAGTAAGTGTTATGTGTCTGAGGCCGCATTTGAACTCAGGTCCTCCTTAATCCAGGGCCGGTGCTCTATCCACTGCACCACCTAGCTGCCTCTGTGTATCTCTCTTGGCTTAATTTTGTAGCCCTGAGTTCTTGGGTAGTTCCTTCAAAGTTTTTGTGTTCCTGGAGAGGAGAAGGAATAATCTCCATGGTGACATGGTGGCTAATTCTGGAAAATTATGGATATATAGTTTGGGAACTGTCCCTAAAATGGGAGTAGTTCCAGAAAGAACTCACCAATGAGAGGAGCGCAGTCACAAGCATGCTGAGACATGGTGACTAAGTCTATTCTTCTTTCCCTCCTTTCTTCATTTTTTCTCTCTTATTTCATGTAATCCCTTTACCTTTTATTTTATTGGGTTATCTTGCCTATACATATACATATATATATACATATATACATATACATACATACATACATACATATATACATATATATGTGTGTGTGTGTGTGTGTGTGTATATACCTGTGGCTTTGCAGTGATCACCAAGTCCTATGTCTTTTATTTTCATGACATGTTTCCTTGGGAATAACTATTACTTACTAGTCATAATGGTCAGAATGATTCTCATTTGAAATATGAAAAACTTACTTTGTGACTTAAGCCTTTTGTCTATTGTGTTTTCTCTCCTTCCCTTTGAAGGGAAGTGGAAAAAGTGGAAAAACCCATCATGCTCCTGTGTGTCCCTTCCTTCCTTATTGTTACGCTATCAGAAGGATTCTTTTACTCCTTTCCAGGGTTATAATATATGGGATCCCGTTTAAGTGGAACTGAAAACGTGCTGCTCTTCTCCCTGATTTATTTAATATTTGTTGCCAATATAAATGAGACCTATTTCTTTTGGAGTGAGTCAGAAGTAAATGTGCTATGTTTCCTCCTTACTTTCATCAGCTTTTCTGCACAGCTAGCTGAGTAGTCTATTACAAGCCAACAAAATCAAAGCTTCAGGTATCAAAAAACAAGTAACTTTTACTTTTTTCCCCTCAGTTGTGAAAGTGGCCTGGAGCATGCAGTGCCCCATTATGTGACTACCTACGTGCCACTTCTGCTAGTTTTGTTGGCCAATCCCATCCTGTTCCAAAAGACAGTTATGGCAGGTAAAGGTGATGATGCTTCACTGGTAGGTGGGTAACAGAGGTCACAAATTGTATGCCTCTAATATTGACAATGGAGTAGATGTATCTCTTAATCTAGTGTTTTGTAAAGGACTTAGGATATACATGGTCTCTTTGGACTCTGCAGGTTACTTTATTTCCCTTTGTTCCCCAAACATGTAAGAATAATGAAACATATATATATACACACACACACATATATAATTTATATATTTACATACATTTACATATTATATATAAATAATATATAATATATATTATATATTTATATATATAAATGAAACATATATATATATAAACACATATAAAAAAAGAATGTGGGCTAGCAAATTAATATGAACTACAGAAGTCTTCAGTCAAATAGCAATAGTTTGTGGGACATCTGGAGAAGCTGCCCTAAGTCCAAGATGTTCTAATGATTTATACCCATTCAAGATCATAGTACACAAGACCCCACCAATGTGTTTACATTTACTAGTCATTCAGAGGGTATGATCAAAGTAAAGGCATTTATTTAATAAACTAGTATAGTAGGAAAAGTAACAATGAATTATGTCTTTCTTCCCCTCCTTCCTCCACCTAGAACTGGGGCATACTATGACAGAGATACAAATCAATGGAAAATAGAAATTCATAGGGGTTACCCATGGGGCACACACCTAAGGACACATGTGGCTAGGGTACATGAGAGTATGGCTCTAAAACTGCAGGATTGCTGATGTCTTTTGATGTCATCAGCCTGCTTTCCAGTGTGTGTCACTCTGCTAGTCTCTACTGGGTAATACTCCCCTGGTACCAGTTTATGAGATTCATCTCTTCAGTGGCCCCTGCCAGATATTTCAGCTCCAGTCAGCTAGGGTGCAGTGATTAGAAAACATGCACCTGATAAGACCACTCACTCTGTAATCATAACCAGACTACTAACAAAAATGATTCAGAGTGACCCCAGTCCAAGACTGTCTTTTCTCCTCAATCCTATGCCTCATACCCAGATCACAGTCCTTAGTCCCAGAAGGAGATGAGACTAGAAATTCCCAAATTCTTTTCTGGTTTGGTATGCAAATTAATTTGAGCTAGAACAAAAAGGTGAGTGAATTAGGCAGGGTCACTGTTCTCTACCCTATCTTCCTGCCTTTATTAAATATATCTATCAGTAGCAAAACCTGTCTAGATTTGGTGCTGTATTTTGGTCATCAAAAAACCTTCCTGCCTGTCTGCTTTTCAGACTGCTCAAACTGGACTTAGACACTATGACGAAGCTAGAGAATTCTCATGTAGGGCTTTTGTGATAGTGAGAGGGAATTGAATGTTTAGGAATCAACTAGCAACTTTTTACCTGATGGATCCAGAATCTTTCTTTAGCAGTAGCACCCAACCTTCAAACAGGGTACTAGAACTGTTCCTTGCCTTTCATCATGGAAAAGGAAGTATATTAAAGAAGCAGGTATTTTTAATTGTGAGAAGTTGATATTGTGAATACAGCAAGAACTGCCATGCATGGATTTAATTGTGGTTCAGTTCAGGGTTTCCCTGTATAGTGTTGGATCATGGTATGTTAAATATAGTTCATTTGTCATATTCCAAATGGCCTGCAGGGAAGTTAGCTTTAATATTCTGGTGGAGTTTCTCAGTCTTCTACCTTGCCCCCAAGCTACTCTGCATCTGAATAATTTAAAAGCTCCTTGGGTTACATCTAGCTTTGTCTCTTTCACTATCATTGTACCATCTCTGTTAATAATGAACAAGACCATTTAAATAGTTCCCTTCTATTCTTTTCAGTGGCATCTTTACTCAAAGGAAGACAAGGCATTTACACAGAGAATGAAAGGCGGTTGGGAGCAGTGATTCAAATTCGCTTTTTCAAAATTATGCTGGTGTTCATTATTTGGTAACCTCTCTTATACACACTTTCATCACTGGAGTGGGGAGGGAGGATTTGAAAGCAACTTGCCATTTTGCTTGATCCAGTTGTGACCTGGATGTTTCAAAGAGAAGTCTTTGGAAAGGAAATCTTTGAAACTTGTGTGAGGTGCCCTTTGAGGAAATGGAGTGAGAACAGGAAAGCAAGTTCACAATGCACAAACTTCTGGAAAACTATTCAGTTTTACTCAAGCATATGTAAAGCCCATGAAACAAGGAGTCCCAAGTTTAGTTTCCCAACTTCCCAACCATCTGCATCCGGTATTTCACTCCGTGGCTGGAGTTAGTATTGGGTTATAACATTTTTAAAAGACTTGAAAGAATCACCAGATGATATTGTTCTCTCAGCTAGAATTTCTTTATCTAAGGACAGAGACAATTCATCACTGGTAACTTGCCATGGTGGGATGATGCACAGCTAAGCTAAGGGCAGATGGTAACAGGGTCTTAAGTAGGTGCCCTTTAAAATAGAATTGAAACCAATGTGAAGACAGATTGGTTTCAAAAAGCTCTTCACTGTGGTTAAATGATACTTCCAGATACAGTACAGGCATCTGTGGTATTAATAATTTACCTGACATGAGGTTTGTTTAGACACTACCAGAAGCATAAATTTCCTTACTCTTATGAAAATTGGCTTACTCTTCCAAAGTCCACTAAAATCCTCTACCAGTTACATTTCTAATACCAAGTTAATTGATATTATTTTGGTCTTGGTTATATAACCCATAAACTACTAATACTATTAATTATCCCCATTTTGTAGGTGAGGAAACTGAGAACTGTGAGAAATTAAGTGGCTTGCCTAGGATCAGTGGGCTAATTAATGGATGGTGGCAGCATCCAAGTCCAGCCCTCAATCTCCTATGCCCTCTGGTTGTCGTAGACAATCTTCCCCGTAAAGCCCTATTCTGATACCTCCTGGTGGAATGGAGAGAACTCTGGGTTCTTTATGGCCGAGAAGCAACAGCTCTAACAGGAATTACCAAGATAGAAAAAAATCCCAGTACTGGAATGCTAACAGTTTGGGAGACAGCATGATAGAGTGGGCAGAATTAGAAGTCCTGGGTTTAAATCCCAGCTCTGATACTCACCGCCCAAATAGCTTTGGCCAAGTTACTACTTGGACCTTAATTTCTTCATCTGTAAAGTTAGAGGATTGGACTGGATGGCGACTGAGGTCCCTTGTAGCTCTATATCTTTGATCCTACCTGCTTTTCTGAGGACCAGCCTAACTAAATTTGGGGAGGTTTCTTATTGGGGAGGCTCATTCAACGAACTAACTATTTTTTTTAACGACAGCAGCTCAACGAATATTATCTGCTAATGTATAGAAGGGTTGCTTCTAAGGTATAAAGAACAGTGGATTTGGATTTAGCAAAGGTCTGGGTTCAAATCTGGCCTCTGTCACTTATTATAGTGCCCAGCACATAGTGGATGTTTAATAAATACTTATTCCCTTCCCCATTCCCCTTTAATGGCAATGATCAAGTCATTTAACCTTTCTGAGTCAATTTTTCCATCTATAAAATGGGTATAATAATATCAGTAATACCTACCTCCTAGGGTCATCATGAGGATCAAGTAATGCAATAGTTTAAAAATATTTTTAAAAAGCAGACCTTAAAATACTATCGAATTTTCAACTGTACCCCCTTTTCTCCCTTCGCTCCCTTTCTCCTCTTTCCTTCCCATTCCTCCCTTTCTCTATCCCCTCTTTCTCTTTCTTCCTTTCTCTCTTCTTCATCTCCACAGATGAAATCATAGATTCTTGAAGTAAGCAAAGCATATTCCAGACAAATTCTAACTAATCTTAAATATAATGTGGTAATTTTATACTGTGAGGAAGTGTAGAATACAAGGATGTTGGGAGAGGGAGGTTCCTTAGATTTTGTTCTCTTTGTTTTAGTCTGAGTCAAAGAACTGAACATTTCTTGATCTAATGCCATTTACACATATTGTTTATTTTCATTGCTGGCTACAAGTAACCAGAGTAAACAGACATCTAGTTCCTTGACTCTAGTCACCATAAATTTTGCTTTTAATAACAGGACCTCATCATTAAAAACTAATTTTGTTTCTTGTTCTTTTTACTATGTACCTTTATCCTCCTGACAGCTGGTTGCCGAATATCATCAACGAAAGTCTTTTGTTCTACCTTGAAACACAGCCAGATATCAATGGAAGCTCCTTGAAAAATGTTAGAAATGCAACCTTGATCACATGGTTTACTATGGTAGGTCAACCAGATTTTCATCTTTCTTATACTTCAAAAGAGCAGGGAGGGCACCATAGCAACAGATCGTAGACTTTAGAGCTTGAAAAGAACCCTAGAGGTCATTTTATTCAATCCCTTTATTTTATAGAGGAGGAAACTGATACTCGGAAATGACTTGTATATTTGTAAATTTGTATCTGGGTGTTGGAGGAACTGTCCTTTTTAAAAACATTTATGCCTTATTTGAATATGGGAGGACTCACATTTTTTAAAAACAGCTCTAAAACAATCCCAGCCTTATTGATGCAGGGAGGTTCACATTTAGAACTCAAATTGTCCTCACCTTCTGCTTTGTTCGATTGACTCTATGTGTAGAACTCTAATACACAAAAGCTGAAAGAAGCCAACAAAGAGAAAGGACATAAATTTCTAGTTTCTTTATCAAAATGCATTACATATTCACAACAGTTTATAATAATAAATAGTCTATTAGATTTTGTTTTTTGCATTCAAATCAGGGCTACTTCTACAGTAATTCGAAGGTCTCCCTGAGCTGAAGGAATTTAAAAATGAGCAAGGGAGCCTTGATTAGTTTTTTCTGCCAATTGTCCATCCTTCATTTGGTGGCAAATTCTTTTCCAAATGAATGATTATTCTGTAACCTTGTCCCCTATAGAGAGGAGAAAAGCAAGCCCATAAATAGGACTTATGTGTCTAAAAGAGATTTAGTGCAAGCTATTCTGTGCAGCTCTGGGAGAAGAGAGTGGGGTGCTACAGGCCTCCACATCTGCCAAATCTGCATTCAGATTTGGAGGAGAGGGATGAAGAATTTACATAACACTTATTATGTGCCAGGCACTCTGCTAAGCACCTTAAAAATATTATCTCATTTGATCAGGGCAATAATGTTGCAGTTCCACAAACTGGGGTGACTTGGCAACTCCAAAGATGGCTTTCCAGTTTTCCTTTTTTTATATACATGGTACTTCCTCTAAGCTAGTTCCCTTCATTTGCTCTTACACTGGTACATTGGGCCCTCTAGAAGGTGGCTGCTATTCAAAGGTTCAAGTAGGATACCCCATAGGTACTTACTCTTTTTGTTTGTTTGTTTGTTTGTTTGTTTGTTTGTTTTTGGTTGGGCAATGGGGGTTAAGTGACTTGCCCAGGTCGCACAGCTAGTAAATATCAAGTGTTTGAGACTGGATTTGTACTCAGGTCCTCCTGAATCCAGGGCCAGTGTTCTATCCACTGTGCCACCTACCTGCCCCCATAGGTACTTATTTTTAAAGGTCAGGAGACCTCCTTGGGGGACTTTCCATTAACGATCAGCCAGTAGACACAATTAGCTCTCAGCGGTGGCCAAGAGCCATCTACCAAGACTGCATAGTACATACAATAGCTACAGAACATTCCCAACATAAATCTCAGGTGCGCTCTCTCACAAATACACAAACTTAGGGTACAGTGATAGTAGAAGGCATATAGGAAATACATGTGGTCAAAGCAAGTCTCAGCTCTAGTGTTTTGGTGTCCTGAAGCCTTTCTCTCTTCCCTAAAGCTCAACTCTTTGCTATGGATAGCTATCTCTTGAATCAATAGTAAATCTGCACACCTCAAAGCTACTTCTGGTATTGCAAGACTGACTGGCTCTCTGTACATGAACTGTGTATATCTGCTCCCTTAGTTGTGCTTTAGACTCTCGTGAATGGACCCTCCAGCTACTGGATGAGGTGTCTCCCTCTGGGCAAATAATCCATTCCTAGACACTGTGGCTAATGGGGGCGGGGGGAGAAGAAGGAGAGAAAATTCCCTTCTCTCCCCTTCCCCCCAAAGAGGTAAAAAGCTGACTTCTTCCCCAACTGCTGGCTCCTGCCTTCACTGACTCAAACTATAAACTCCAAATGTTCCTAGGGCTTAGCTGTTTAAAGCCCCCAGAGGCATGATTAATGCTTTTGGTCAGTCTTATGATCAGGCACCCTCACAAGAGACCTTCAAGCTAGGTGACCACTTCTCAGGGATATCCTAAGTGGGATTTAATACATTCAGTTATAGGACACACCAAATAACCTCTAATGTCAATTCCAACTCAGAGATGCTGTGAATCTACTTTCTTCCTACATCTCTTAGCACTCCTCAACCTTCTTCAAAGCTTTAACTTCTTCCTCCCACAAAAATGGGTCATGCAAGTTTTGTCCTGGCCTACTTTCTTGTTCTTTATATGTTCTCTCCCTTGTTGCTCTCACCTATTCCCATGGTTTCAGTGATCATTTCCGTGGAGATGTATATATCCTAATTATGTATATATCCAGCTCCAATCACTCACCTAAACTTTAGTCTCACCTTTCCAACTCCAGGCTGGATTTGTATCTTGTGTTTTCTCCTACCTGATAAATAAATTAAGTCTCATCTTCTAGGTGGTACAAGAGAACCAAATGGCCAAGAAAATATAGGCAGATACCTGGAGATCAAAGGGAAGGAGTAACAAGGTAGATAGACATAATTAGATCCAATAATTGAATTTCGCCTTGTGAATCGGTTTCTGTTTGCTTTGTTCTATATTGGGATATGACAAGAATGTGCTGATTAAAGTGGATTACACAATCTTATTGTCAGAAAGGCAGGAAGCCTGGCCTAAATAAATTAAACTTCTCTCAGAAGCTCCAGCAACAGAGCTGTCCATGTAATGAACAGTTACAGAAAACAGACAGTTTGATAAAGTACTTAGCCCCAAGAGTTAAACGAGTGCTACTGAAAAGAAGACAAATTACTGAGAATCTTTCTTCAAGCAAATATGGGAAAGCAAGGGAAATTTTCAAATGACCTGCAGAGTGTGTTCTGTGTTTGTGTTTGTGCTAGTATCAAGTCATGACTCTCTGTACTCAAAGTTTGGTTATATATTGATGAAAAAGATTGAGAAGTTGAAAGAATACATATCAACTCTCTAGGTTAGCAGGAAGAATGAAATGTTTGTTGAATGAATAGAAGAACTGCTTTGAAGAAACAAAAAAAGAAAATGGATGTAAAAGGGCAAAAAAGGAGTTTTAAGCTGCACTGTGAAATTAAATGGTAGAAGAATGAAATAGAAAGATAAAAGTAAAGAAAAAGCATGTGAGATTATACTCATATAAGAAACCCAAGAGAATGTAGTGAAGAGTATTTACACGACCAAGGCAACCTCCATCGCATTCAAAAAATTCCTGTGGCTTCTTATTACTCCAGTATCAAACATAAAATCCTCTGACTTTCAAACCCCTCACAACTTGGCCTCTTCCTACTTTACCAGTCTTCTTACTCCCCTCCACATAGTCTATGACTCAATGATGCTGGCTTCCTTGACGTTCCTCACACAAAACATTCAACTTCCTGACTCCGGACATTTTTACTGGCTATCCCTCTTGCCAGGAATGTTTTCCCTCCTTACTATACCTACTGGTTTCCTTCAAGTCTCTGCTAAAATCCCATCTTCTGCAGGGAACCTTTTTCATTGTTCTTCAGTCATTTTCATTTGTGTCTGACTCTTTGTGACCCCATTTGGGGTTTTCTTGGCAAATACACTGAAGTGGTTTGCCAATTCCCTCTCCAGCTCATTTTAGAGATGAAGAAACTGAGGCAAACAGGGTTAAGTGACTTGCCCAGGGTCAGAGGGCTAGAAAGTGTCTGAGGCCAGATTTGAACTCAGGAAGATGAATCTTCCTGACTCTCAGGCCTGGTGCTCTCTCCACTGCACCAGCTTGTGGTAATATCAGTGCCTTCCTTCTGAAATAGTCCCAATTTATCCTGGATATGTCTTGTTTATACATTGTTGTTTGCATATTGACTTCCCCATTAAAATGTGAACTTCTGGAGAGCAGGAACTGTTTTTACCTTTGTCCTTATCTCTAACACTTAACACAACGTCTGGCACATAATAAGCATTTAATAAATGCTTATTGACAAAATGACGAGTAAGGATTTACAGAGGATGAAACAGAAGCTATATTGTTATGGGAATATGAAAGACTACTCAGACAAGAGCAGGAATAATATAAGGAGTTTGGGGAATAGAACTGACATAATATAGTCATAAGTGGGGCACTTCAGTTATCTAGATGTGTTCATGTGCTCTCTGCCAAAAAGCAGAGCAGCTGAGCAATTTGTGACTTATCCTAATGGTAGTTTCATCCTTCAAAACCTGAAGGAAACAACAAAGAAACTGCTGTTCTGAATCTCATTCTGACCAATAAGGAAGAACTGGTTGTTGATATAGAAATAATGAAAACTCTGGGAGCCAATCACCACTCCACTGGAACAGTCAGCCCAAGGGTAAAATAAGATTTCAAGAATAAAATTCTGAAGCTACAAGGAAAAATGGTTCTGATAAGGAAGAAAAAGAAGAATTTCATAGTGACTAATTAGGCAGCACAGAGACCTTACTAACATTAAAACACACACACATAACCAAAATGAGAGTAAGAACAGTTAAATAAGGATGAATATTTTTAAAAATCAGCATGCACCTGTGATTGTATTAGGAACATTAAATTCTAGAATGAGATGGGGATGACAGTGAATACTGAAAACAACAAAAAAAGATATCTTGGGACTTTTTTAAGGTTTATCAGGAACCTCTGATATATACTGGCTGTGTGACCCTCTATAAGTTACAGAGAAGGTGCTGAAATGAACTATTAGAGGGAGTTTCCTCACTTAGACATTCATTTCTTTATCAGGGAAATCAAAGGTCTAGTCCCTATATCCCAATCCTCATTCCTATTTCTAAATTGAGAGTACAGGAAGGATCAAAGAATGGCTATGGCCACTACTTGGGGGATGGGATAACAGAAGATGGTGAGAAAACAGAATTTTTCAACTTCTTTTCTTTTCCAATGAGAAATGATCATTAGCTTGAGAAAGGTAGAACAAAAATGATTAACTCGGAGTAGATAACCCTAAATAAGCGAGGAGATGATAAGAAAATATGTTGAGGTCCTCAATGAGTTCTAGTGACTGGATCCAGATGAACTATATCCCAATGTCCTGAAATAACATAAATAAATGAATGATTGGTTGCCCATGTGATCTTAAGTAAGTTATCTAACCTTTTGTGACTCAATTTCCTCACCTGTGAAACAAGGGGATTAGATTTGATTATCTCTGAGGTGATGTTGTAGTCCATTATGTTGTGATCTTATTCCTGGCAAATTTCTAGAGTACATATTATGAAATATCTAGATAAAACACTTATTGTGTTTTACAATGTGTTAGGCACTGTGCTAAGCTCTAGGGATACAAAGACAAGCAAGGCAGTCCCTGCCCTCAGGGAGCTTACTTACATTCTAATTGGGGAAGTTGTTTAAAAGAGGGAGGAAAGGAAGAGGGGTACGGGTCCTAATGGCAAGAAGGGGCAGTGCTGCAAGTGAGGGGAAGGGTGGAGTCCAGAGAGAGTTGAGAATTAGGTGAAATATGGCTGAGAAGCTTTCCAAACAGGTGTGTGTTGGGGGAGAGAATCACCAATGAAGAGAACAGATTCCTAGGGTGGAGACCTCCCAGGGTGGCATTTTGTCCACAAGAAGTAGTTGGAATCCTCAGAGTTGAGGTCAGTGAGCACTGAGAGAGAGAAGTTGTGATAATTAAAATCATAATGATTTCATTATATACAGCCCATGACAAACTCACCTAATTTCTTCTTTTTTTGATCTTTTAAATATTTTATTGAATCACCTCCATGATAACTCCATCCTCTACTCCCACAATAGAACCTTCCCTTTTAACAAACAAATGCAGAATTAATCAACACATTTGTCAGTGTTCTTTGCCATCTATATCTCACTCCCTTCTGATAAAAGGAGGCAGTCTTTATTATTAATCCTCTGAAGTTATCATCAGACACTGCATTGATCCGTTCTGAAGTCTTCCAATATTTTTATTTTTATTTATTTATTTTTTTTGGCTAGGCAATGGGGGTAAGTGACTTGCTAGTGTCATGTGTCTGAGGTCACATTTGAACTCCGGTCCTCCTGAATCCAGGGCCGGTGATCTATCCACTGCGCCACCTAGCTGCCCCCTTTCAATATTTTTAAATAATATTCCCTTCTTACCTTCACCTCTTAAAATCCCTTGTCTTCTTCAATTGTAGAATCGCTTTCTAAATAAAGCCTTCCTTCTCCTTCTAGCTTCTAGTACCCATCCCTCTCACCCAAATTACCTTATATTTATTTTGTACAGGTATACCTAGGAAATATTGCAGGTTCAGTTCCAGATCACTGCAATAAAGCAAATCACAAATATTTTGGTTTCTGAGTGCATATAAAAGTTATGTTTACACTATACTTTAATCTGTTAAGTGCAAATATGTCTTTAAAAAAAACCCAACACATATACCTTAATTAAAAATACTTCATTGCTAAAAAATGCTAACCATCATCTGAGCCTTCCACGAGTCATAACCTTTATGCTAGTGGACCGTCTTACCTTGATATGGATGGCTGCTGACTGGTCTGGGTGGTGGTTGCTCAAGGTTGGGGTGGTTGTAGCAATTTCTTAAAACAAGACAACAGTGAAATTTACCACATCAATCGACTCTTCCTTTCACTTGAACACTGAGAGGCCATTGTAGGGTTATTAATTGGCCTAATTTCAATATTGTTGTGTCTGAGGCAATAGAGAGGCCTGAGAAAAGGAAGAGAAATGGAAAGCCTGATTGGTGGAAAGTCACAACACATACAACGTTTATCAATTAAGCTTGCCATCTTATATGGTTTTGTGGTGCCCCAAAACAATTACAATAGTAACTGTGAATTACAATAGTAATTATGAAAAAGTTTCAAATATTGTGAGAACTACCAAAGTGTGACACAAAGACATGATGTGAGTACATGCTGTTGGAAAAATGGTTTTGATAGACCTTAATACTGGAGTGCCACAATCCTTCAATTTGTAAAAAATGTAATATCTGCAAAGCACAATAAAACAAGGCATGCCTATATATGTGTGTGTATACACACACACACACACACACACAAACCCATATATGTACATATGTTTATGTAGGAATTTTTCTGGTTCTGCTTACTTAATTCTTCATCAGTACACTAATATTTTCCCATGTTTCCCTGAATTCTTAATATCATCATTTCTTATGGTATAGTAATATTCCATCACTTTTCTACACCACAAATTGTTCATCCATTCTCCACTGAATAGAAACCTACTCCCTTCCTCCCAACCCAGTTCATTGTTAGTATAAAAAGAGCTGCTTATAACCTACAATGGCCTCTGTGTCTTTGATCTCCTTGGAAATTATATGCATAGCAATGGTATTACAGAGTCATGGAGTATATGTAAATTACTGACTTTTGGGGTATAATTCCAAATTATCTTTTTAGAACTGCCAGCAGTAGTGCACTTGGGAGCTTCTGTATTAAAAATGACTTTGTTGTTAATTTGATTCACTGTCATTTTGAAGCCTTGAGCCTTTTTTTTTTTAACCATATGGAGCACAACGCTTTATGAGAAGTCTGGGTTGACTCCCCAAGCCAGCCAGCAGAACATCAGGCAAGTTCTCACTAGCTCCTAGTCCTCTCTTTCCGAGAGGATAGCAGTGACAGCCCCTCTTCTCTGCCTGTTCTCAAGCTCTTGCTTCCCCCAAAGTCCCTGCTTAGTAGCTTTTTCCATTGTCTTGGCAGCACAGGCACGCTGAGTAGAATTTGGGTTCATTCACTGCTCCTCACACATGATAATACACCTTCCATCTCTATTCCTTTGCATTGGCTGTGCCCCATTTCAGGAATGCACTCCTTCCCCATCTTCATTTCTCAGGATCCCTTGTTCTCTTCAGGACCCAGCTCAAGTACAACTTAATAAATAATACTTTCCTTCTTCCAGCTGCTAGTACCCACCACTCTCCTCAAAATTACCTCATATTTATTTCCTATGTATTCTGTATACACACACACACACACACACACACACACACACACACACACACACTGAGAGGTAGAATGTCATCATGGAGATCTGGATACTGTCATACATACTGGTTGTGTGACACCAGACGAATCTTCTTACTTTCCAGTCAGAGGTGTGCTGGAACCAGCTTGAACAGGCACTTTGTGAGAGCCAATTTAAAAATGTTCAATGTGAACATTTACGTCTCAGAAATCTGCAAACTACATCTAGACTTCAGAAAGTGATGGAGAAAACATTAATGATGCAGATTCAACTTAAATGTATGTCCTGGGTACATTCCCTGCCCCTCCACCCCGGGGATTGCTTAGCAAACAGGTACTAGCACACTCCTACTTTCTGTGCTCTAGGAAACTCTTTATAAACTGTGCTGACCTGTATTGCAGAAGGAGTTTGCTCATCTGGGACTTCTTTGTACCAATGAACTCACAGATCCAGGCCCTATCTCCATATATATATAATATTATATTATTAAGCATATTATTCTTAAGTATATTCTTATTAGTGTAACCCCAATAGAATGTAACCTTGATTTTGGGGACCATAAATCTTTTGTAGTCCAAGGGATTTAGCACAGCACCTGGTACGTAGTAAATACTTAATAAATGTTTGTCAGTTGCTTGGTTCAAACAAACTGGCTGTTTATCTTCTCAAGGCTTGCATCATGACATTGCATTGACTGCCTTCTATTCGTCCCCCTGTGTCTCATAGGGAATACTGAACCCAGTACAAGGCTTTCTTTTCTCCTTGGCTTTCTATGGCTGGACTGGATGCAACTTGGATTTCAAGTGTCAAAAGAAAGAGATACAGTGGGAATCTTTGTCGACATCAGCTGGGGAACATGCCTATGCCTCACAAGCCGGTTCGTCCCTCAACTATGAAAGCTATTCTCCCAAGAAGACAGTGGTGGTGAATGGCCATAATTCTGATGAGGCACTGGGCATGCTGTCAGAAGGTAACATCACTAATAACAGTGACAGATTTCTCTCAAACTCTCCTATTTATCAAGGTTGGTAATGTCCACAGAACATGTAGTGCCCTCTTCTATTGCTATGAACCTTTAAGGGTGTCAATATTGTGGTAACTGAACTCCAAAGCATAATAATGCTCATTTTCTGATTCTTCTCTATGGGAGATGTGGTGTTGACGTCTGTAGTCAGTTTCTTTATGGGAGCTGAAAGAAGTGGGCTTGGTTTATGGAATTTAAGAATAAATATGTATATGTGTGTACATATATATCTATATACATGCATACATACACTTTGTATATGTTATATGTGTATACATGTGCATATACACATTACATATATGTATACATGTTTATATACATAAGAACAGGTTCAGTGTAGGTAATAGAACTTTATATAATGCAGTTTTGCTTATGTATTAAATAGAATAGAATTGTTAGGTTTTTTTCCCTCTTCTGTCTAGCTCTTGTTTTGCCAGACACTGTCAGTCTAAGATAAATGGCAACTCCAGACCCTTTACTAATAAATGTGCTGTCAGGAATTAACACTGCAGAGTCTCTTAGGTTTGGTATTGGTTGCCTCCGTGACTGCCCTCAGATGTTTCAAACCAATTACTCTTAAAAGACTCAGAATTGTTCTGCGAGATTTTAAATGTGTTCTCATTTAAACACTGGAGGAGTTTTCTCAGTATGTATGGATGGGAGAGATTCAGGAAGGAGGAAAAGTGAGTCCAAGAGAAAATATAATATTTGACCAATTTAAACCCATGACATTAATTTAAACCCTTTGACATTGTCTCAAGTAGACTACTTACCATATTGTCCTCAACAATTTTAACTGTATTGTACTCCCTTGGAAAAATTAGGATTGCAGAAAAGGAAATTCAAATTGATTTCTAAGAGCATTGATAATTCTGTTTCATTATTGCAAGGCCTTTTTCCTGTGGGGTCAACTGATGTCTGAGTACTTTACCAGGACACCTTGTCTTACTTTGCATCTTTCCCCACTAACTCTGTTCAGGCTTGGCAGAGGCTTGAGTACAAAAAAAGTGTGCATGCTTTGCACTAGCATGTTATTTGAAGGGGAAAACAAAAGCAAAATACCATTCTTGCTCATATGGAAAGGCCTTATGAAAATTACAGGTTGTTTTCAAATATATCTCTGGGAATTCCCTCAGAACTTGGCTGATTTCTCAAGCCCCATTTGGCGTTCTTTTCCCTTGCTTAGTCACATATAAGGGGGTGCTGTTTTTTTAGGGTGCTTCATTCTGCGGACAAAAGAAAATGGTGAAACCCCATGGTGAAAGCCCTGAAGACTTACTGTCTTGTCCTGCCTGTGAGACTTGAACAGAGCCACGGAAGCAGTTTTAGCTAAAGCTAAAAGAAAGCCCTGTTTGTTTCTGAAATCAGGGATCTAGTACAAATATTTCACCAAGAGTGAAGGAAATACTAAGGAGACAGAGTTGTAGTTAGTTTATAAAAGTTGCTAACCCCTCCTGGGGAAGGGACAAAATAATTAGAAGTTGAAACAGTTTAGATTTGGTCCTCCTTACTGCTTCTTTTATAAGTAGAGACAATTCAGTCCTGCTTTTCACAAAAAGTACCAGCTTCTCTTCTCAACCACATATACCTAGAGCCATGTCCTGATTCCTTTTCTCTGCAGAAAAATCTGGGGAAGTTTTGATTTAAAAAAAAAAAAATTAGTGCCACCCAGTCAGAGCAGCTATGGGATACCACCTGGCTTAAACTCTGGCTTAGATAGCAGCTCCTGCTCCTCATTTGAGCTTTTAAGTTTGCATGTGCTCTTTTCTAAGGATGTCACGAATGCTACATTTTGTTTTCAAAGTCTCAGCAAAATCTCTGCTGCTGCTTGGATTAGGGGAAGCAGGGGAGGAAATTCCTTAAGATATTTTTTGAGTTCAGATAACTTTTAAAAAAAGAAACTGCTGAAGCTTGACATGTTGCATTACCTCTCCATGAGAAATGGAAAACTACAGAGTTGGAAATAGCTTCAGCTGTAATGAAGAATGACTGACCAGTGTGATTGGCCAAGACTCTTCTGTCTCTCTTTGCTGGGGCGGGAGCTGAATCTGGAGATAACAGGCTGCACACTCGGGATATGGGCTTAGTATGGAAAAGTAGAGCACACACACAAATCTGAGAAACCCCAAACCTCCCTCAAGATCACATTGTTAAAATATGGGGTCGTTAGTAGAAACATATATGCTACCCACTGAGTTCCTCGAGTGACCTTTAGAGAGGTCAAACAGGTGCTGGGAATAATTGTAGCCTAATATAGTGGGCATAAATTAGCTTCAGAGTTAGGAAGACCTGGATTCAAATTCTGCCTATGTTACATACTAACTGTTTAATCCAAATCAAGTCACAGCAACTTAATAATACTGAAGAGTAAGTGCTAATTTGCATTGGTAATTTACATTCCCCTTTGGAAGTTTCCTATGTCAGTGGAATCACTGGGCTGGTTGGAAAACAAAAGCAAAAACCCTTTTGCCAAGTTGGAAGAGGTGGCTGGTTTCCTACTGGCTTATAATCCTATCAAGACTTGTTTTCTGATGCCCTAGTGGACCTCCAAATACCTGCTTGAAACTTACCATTTCATTTTTCAAAGACAAAATTCAGTTCAATTTAATAAGCATATTATGCCCAAAGTAATTATAATCACTGTTTACAGAAATATTTTTAAAAATTAGGTATAAATTTGCATAGAGTTTAATTTTTAAAGGGCCCCTTCACTTGAATAATGAAGTAAAGTGGACATTTCCTTCTACAGTAAACTAAATATAATTAAAATATGGAAAAATGTTATATTTAAAGAGTAAAATTAAATATATTTGCAAATGCTTTCCTTGCCATTTCAAAATAATACTTCCACTTAAAATGCACCATATTGTCATTATTAAAAATAAAAAGACTTTTTAAAAAGTTGCATTTTATAAGTTGACCTTTTTAGAATTTTAATTTTTTGGTATTCAATATCAACAAACATGGACATTTCCATGTATAAAGAAGAACATAAATAGATAGTACATAAAACTGCAAATTTCTATGGGGCCTGTCAAGTGTTTCATTGACATTCCACTATCCTTTCTTTTTTTTTTTCCTTTTGCTATCACTATCACTAGCTCTTCAATCACCAACAAACTCACCTTCTCCTAAATGAAAAGTTCTCCTTTGTAACAAAAAAACAAACGAACAAAAAAAAAACCCAAGCAAAACAACCTATACATTGGCCATTTATGAAAATGCATGTTTCATTATATACTTCTATTCTATCATTTTTCTTTCAAGAGATAGAAAGCATTCTTTGCATTATTCTTCTATTTGGTCATTGCATTGATTAGAGTTCTTAAATAATTTGAAGTTGTTTTTATTTACAGTGTTCTAGTCATATAAATTACTTTTCTGGTTCTGCTCACCACACTAGGCATTACTTCATATATGTCCTCCTAGTTTCTCTGACTCTGTCTCTTTCATAATTTCTTATGGTACAATAAAATTCCATTGTAGTCTTATAACAAAATTTGTTTAGCCGTTCCCCAATTGATACACACTTTTTTTAGTTTCTTGTCTTTTACAATGAGAATATTTTTGTTCATAGGTGTCCTTTTCCTCTTTCTTTGATCCTTTTGGGGTATAGTCTTGGTAGTGGCATAATTGAGTCAACATGTATGCACAGCTTAGTGCTTTGGGGCCATTGTTCTAAATTGTTTTTCAGAAAGACTGGGTTCTACAGTTTTACATTCACAGTTCTACTAAGAGTGCATTGATCAATGTATCTCTCTTCTCAGAGCCTCTCTATTATCCTTTTTTTTTTTTGGTTGTCATTATAAATCTGATGAGTGTGAGATAAAACCTTGTTTTAATTTGAATTTATCTTATAAATGATTTGGAAAAAAAAATTTTCCTATGCATGCTGATAACTTGCATCTCTTCTTCTGACAACTCCTATTCCTATACTTTGGCCACTTATCTATTGCAGAACGGCTCTTCTCATAGAGTTGAATTGGCTATCTATACATCTTGGATATCAGACCTTTATCAGGTCTGATTTTATGGCAAATTTATGGCAAAATTTTTTCCCTGTTAATGATTTCTTTTCTAATTTTAACTGCATTGATTCTAGTTGAGCAAAAATGTTTCAATTTTATATAATTAAAATTGTCCATTTTATCTTCTGTAATCCTCCCTATAACTTGTTTGGTTAGGAAGCCTTCCTTTATCCAATGTCTAGTAAGCAGTTAACAAATGCTTTTTGACTAACCGTATCCATAGTTGCAAGAGTCATCTTGCTTATTCTTCTAATGTGTTTATGACATGACCTCTTATGTCTAGTTCAGGTATCTATTTATATGTTCTTGTGGCATGTGGTATATTATTTCTATCAGCCTACTTTGATTTTACGGCAACTAGGTGGATAGTGGATAGAGTGCTGGGCCTGGAGTCAAGAAGACCTGAGTTCAAATGTGACCTCAGGCACTTACTTGTTGTATGAATCTAGGCAAGTCAGTTCCTTCATCTGTAAAATGAGCTGGAGAAGGAAATGGCAAACCACTCCAGTATCTTTACCAAGAAAACTCCAAGTGGGTTCACTAAGAGTTGGACATGATTGAAAAATGACTGAACAGCAACTTTTCATTTTCCCCGACAATTTTTTGTCAAGTCATTAATCTGTTAGTTAATCCTTGGATTTATTGAACTCTTTGTTATTATGTTCATTTGTTTCTGGATTTAGTGTAAATAACTGGCTTTACTTTTCTATTTCTTAACTAGTACTATATATTTTTGGTAATTACTTTTTGTTGTATAGTCTGAGATCTAGTACTACTGGGTCTGCTTTTTTATTTTTTTCTCCTTTTCATTTTTTCCTTTGATATTCTTAACATTATATTTCTCCAAATGAAGTTTGGTATTTTTTCTAGTTCTATTAAGTAATTCTTCATTGATTTAATAGGTATGGCAGTGAATAA